CCCCGTCGGCATCATGGCGGCGTTGCTCCTCCTCGCTTTCTCTCCTACCGAAGTAGGCGTCGGAAACGTCGTCGTATGACAGAAATCGATCCGCCGCCAAATACATTGCGCCGGCGATTCGTTGGTTAGGGCTTTTCGTCGAACATTATTGACTTCCGGCGGCCGGTGTTTGTTTTTTGGGTAAATTATGAGAAATGTTAGAGATTTTAATATATCTAATGTAGAAAATGAAAGGAGAAAAAAATGTGAAGAAAGTGGAATTTCTTTATTATTATATTAATTTGGGGGTGGTTGTTAACTTGTTATTTTGTTTTTTTTTCCTTTTTCGTTAAATATATGTATATTTTTTTTCTTTTTTTGAAAACTTTTTCGTTTTATATATGAAATGATGCATAATGGGTAAATTTTAATTTTGGTTCCTAATTATTTTAAAATTTTAAAATTGCCTATTAAAAATTCCCAACTAAATCTTTCTATAAAAAAATTTTATAACAAATAATCTTCTGACTTTTTTTAGAACATATCCGTATGTTTAAATATATTAATAAAACAATAATTTAATGACATACAAATATTATGTGAAAATAACAAATTAATTACAATATTATCAAAGCGAACATACTTCAACGATAATTAACATATATCTCCAATCAATAGTATGTGAATTCGATCTCATACTCCTATATGTTGTACTAAAAAAAACTAATCACGATATTATTTATCTCTCTAATCTCGGATTTGTACCTTCGATGAACTAAAAAAGATTTTATTGACTTAATTGATAATTTTTAAAAATTACAGAAAAAATTAGAAATGATTTAATTTAAAAAATTTTAATTGGAACGCGCGTGTGTGGCACGAGCGGAGGAAGGGGCGTGGAGAAAACAGGGTGGCGGAATGAAAGTGGCGTATACGGGTCTCTTGTTGGACAGACTTTTCTGACCATGGGCCTGTCGGTTGGTTGGGCCTTGGCCGCGGCGGAGTCGCTGTTTAAATTGTTCTTTTACATAAATACCCTTTTTTTTTTAGAAATGCCCTTAAAAATGGTTAATATATGATATATTACTATATTACCAACTTCTATTCGAAATAAATTTCTAAATTTGGTTACTTTTTTTTGGTTAATTATTATTATTTTAATTTTTATATTACGAGCCGAAAGCAGCAAAAAATAAAAGAAAGAAAAAGAAAATTAAATGGGAAGAGCATTTTGATCAAATCACCGTTAATCATATTTTTGAACATCTATTTCTTCAAGCATGTCAGGATAGCTCACAGACGGTAGTGTTACAAGACCGTGGAGTGAAGAGAAAGCCTCCAACGTAACCTCGCCTCTGATGGTCTTTATGGTCATTGATAAAATTTTGAAGTTTATTTCCCACATTTTCATCATTAAGAAGTAACTTACAAAGGATCAAGAAATCGACCTCTGCCCATAAACGGATGAATACCGACTTCATGTGCCATCTGATTGCCTATAATTAGTGTCTATCGCTTTTACGAGCTCCACAACATCTGTAATATAGTCTAGAAAGGATTCTACTACTGACATTGTATCAATAGCTTATAAAATCTACATTTTTTTTACCTACACATCAGAGTTGAGTTTAAAATAACATAGGTGGAGGGGTTGCCAATGTTGGGATGTAGAAGAAACATTAAAATTTGCCATGTAAGATTAATAATAATCTTCTAACTTAAAAAAAAGGTGTAAAATGTTTATTATTAAATAACTCTTATTAATGAATTTATTTATTTTTATGAATTTTTTCATTTGATGAGAATTTATGATGTTATATTTACTTTTTATTACTTTATCTAATTGACTTGTTGAATTTCTATGACTAAAATTATAATTTGTCAAAAAAAAAAAATCAACAAAAATTTGACCATGGCATTGTGGATGGAATGAAAAATATGTTTCTCATCTGGGGGATGGGTTCTTTTGAAGAAAATACCATAATGGAAAAAGTAAAAGTTTATTGTTTTTTAGGTGTTAACTTTATTGCCTTCTAATTATAGTCTTTTCAATATAAAAATCATTTTTGTTAGGTTAATGTGAAAATTTGAATTTTTTTTTAAATTTTTTTATGATACAACAAGTGGGGAGCGGATTCGAAATCATGATCTCTTGATTAGAGACAAGTACCAATTATTGAACTAAGTTCATGTTGGATGAATATTCTATCTTTTGGTTGAAGATATATACTTTACCCAATCAAGATATGCTTGGATTGATTTAAAAAATGATTTCAATATATCGTTTGAAACTCATTTGAATAAGAATTATATGGAGATTTAAGTAAGAGTTAAATTAATGGAAAATAAATCTTAAACTAATTTAATATATATACACACATGGACAAGTTTAAATGTTTTTTTAATACACTATGTGAAGGTAAGAATTTAAACCTCCAGCTTCAAGAAAAGAAGTAGATGCAGTGTCGTAAATTTAAATAAATATATTGTTACGAATGATATAAAACCAATTAAATCATACTTTTGTCTCCATATTTTTATTATATTACTTTTAAAAGTTTTATTTTTTTCCTAACATTTGAAAATCTTTATTTCAGAATCCAATGTTTTATTGATTTATTTTATTGTGAGTTAAAATAATAAAATTAAAATTTTAAAAATGGGCCAAAAAAAAATAGAGCTTATAGAAAGTTAGCTTTATATTTTCCATCCTTCATGATTTCTCTATATTGCATAACAACAAAACTTTTATTTTGTTTTTCTTCTTTTTTTCCTCACACGGATGATCTCACCCATTGTTGATTTTGCTGCAAATCTTCTATTTTGGACATTTCGCGGGCTATGAATTGGGTCACACCTAAGCCATTTTTTAATGGGCTGATGGCCCACTTCCTCCACCTTGAGTGTTTTTTTCTTTTTTTTTTTTTGAGTGCTAATTAAAAGCAAAAGTTGCAAAATTTGGATATAGATTTCAAAAATGTTTAGAAAAGGTATATAACAAAATAAATAATCACATAGGTGGAGGTAGTGTTTTTTTTAATTTATAAAAGTATAAAATCTAAAAAATAATTATTAGATGAAGCTTTAATTATTCTCTTTGTTTTATCCAAAAAAATGATTAGAGGCTATGAAGTTTGGATTGGGTGTAGCTCAGGAAGGAATGGACTTGCAAAAAGAGGGAAGTATTCATTGAGAGAGAACAGTTTCGTGTATATGAAGAATGAGGTGAGATCTTTATTTATAGAGGCGAGCTTCCAATAGGACCTCCAACAATTCTATAATGACTCTCTAACATTTTCGAGAGAATCACGACGCGTTGTCGTAGATCTTGTTGAAAGTTTGCGTCGGCTGATGTTTTTGAAGGTTGGCTCGTCCTTAAGAAGGTTGGTCAAGGTGTATCATGTGGGTCGGCTCAACATCGCTTGCCAAGCTATCTCGAATCTTCTAAGTGATGAGTGATATCCGATTCATCCTGAATGAATAATGATTATTTTGATGTACGATTCGTGGATACGTGGTCGTCGATAATTCGTTAAACAAACCATTAACTTTGATAATTTTAATCGATTCATTTCCAAATTCTTTTTTTAATTATTATTTTATATAATTGACAACTAACATATGTTTTTTTTTTCTCAAAAAATGACAATATATGAAAATTTTACGGTAATAAGTTAAAATAGGACTTAAAATAAAATATAAAATCAACGATAATAGAATTTAAATCTTATTTCCTTAAAATATTCTACCAATTTTGTTAACAAATATATTAGTTCATACAAGAATGTTTTATCCTACCATTTTTTGAAAGATATATATATAATAAATAATTTATACTTTTCTCATAACAAATTGCCACTTTCAAATGTAATCCAAATTAATCTATATTTTAAAATCATCACCATTCAAATTTATCATCTTTTTGGCTAAAAAAAGTAGAGAGAAAGTTAATAATAACTTTTTATTATTTTAGTAAAACAAAACAGCATTATTTATGCTGAATCAGAGAGAACTTACATCGAGTAAAGGGAGTAATTAAAGTTAATTATCTCCTAATTCCCTTTTATCTATTTTTTCTCTTTCCCTAATTTAAAATTCTAAAATAAAACAAAGGGCAGTTTGTACTTACGTACATTGATTAATTTATATGATATATCATAATTGATTAGCATAAAGTAATTAAGCTTTTTAATGATTGATTATGTTTCTTAATGATCATCAACTTCTCCCAATCCTTAGTGAAGAATCAACACCTTTTTTTCCACCAGCTGCAAAGAGCTTAGCAATCTCCAACTGAGTGTTTGCAATTATTTCTGTTCTTTTGAGGTCCATTTCTCCTCTTTTGGCCTCTGCCTCTGCTCTCATTCTCTCTATGTCCCTTATCATGTCCATCCTTGCTTGCTCCGATCTCACCACGACCTCGGCCAACCACCGAATGCTGCTCGCGATCTGATCCAACTCCTCGGACATCCTCTTCTTCTTCTTGTTCTTCTTCATCTTCGGTTGCTGCTTCGACCTTAGCTTCTGATCTTTGTCACTATATAATATTGCTGGCGTGCTACTATCTGTTTCGATGTTGTTGTTGTCGTTGTTGTTCTTGTCTGATAAGTGATCTGATAGCCTGGTTTCGATCTCATCTTCCTATATCAACATAAATATATTCAATCATTTAGGCTTATATTAGTTGTGATGTAAAAATTTACTTACAGCAATCAATCAACTTTTTTTGAGTCTAATCATAAATTTAACCCATGAAACAAGTTCATTTTTCGAGGGGGAAAAAAGAACAATAATGACTTGCATCTAAAATGGTAAGAAAATGTTTTTCCTCGTCAAAACCCTAGTTTGGTTTTACCTTGCCCACAAAACTTATAAAATCAAATTACCTACCTGTTTATATATTAACCTTCACAGAATTTTTATTATTTTTTATGTCAATTCGAGTAATATTTGTTATATTGATAAACATGGAAAGTTCAATCCTCATCGGATAATTTTTTTCTTAAATGAAAATAAAGAAAAAGAAAACATATATAGCAATTAAATGCAAGAACAAAAAAGTGTAGTTTAAAGTTTTACTATATATTTAGTAATATGAAGCAATTTGGAGGTTGAATTTTAATAAATTGGAGAAATCTTAGAAATCCTTGTAAAAAAATAAAGTAAAAAGGGACAAAAATGCTAAAAGCTATAGCCAATGAAAGTGTTCTAAAATAAAATTTAAAAACATATTTAATACATAAAAGTAGAAAAATAAAATTAAATAAATAAAAGGTGGGTTTGGCAGAGAGAGACCTTGGGATTAATCCTATCAACGCCATTGGATCCGTGCGAATTCTGCGCCGCCACAAACGGCGGCGGAGCTGGCGGAGAGACCTCCACAATAATGACCGGCGGGTTATTGTTGGCCATCGGAGGAGACTGCGGCGGCGGCGGCAGTGGCAGCGGTGGCGTGACCGTATTTCCACGTAGCAAGAGATCAAGACGGTTATACAAGGGCCAGGCGGAGGCAGCGGCGGCGTCGACGGCGGCGGCAGATTCCGACCGGTAGCGCTTCTTCATAGACTCAATCTTGTTCTTACACTGCGTTTGCGTTTTGGGCGATTTGGT